ATCTAAGATTAAAGTTTGTATTCCTTTTGGATACAGGACTGCGCTATACCTAACTGTTCAAAAGATGAGGATCACGCTTGCCCGTGAAAAAGAAAGCAAAATGAATGCGCATGTCACCCATTTTGAGTATTTCGGGTCAGCATAGTCGCGAGGTCAACTAAAGCAACATTAACCCTCGCCCGCACATGCCATTTTCCCATCCTAGAACGCACATGGGGGGGGGGTGGTTGCCACCCCCCCCCCACGCCATTTCGTTCCTGTTGGAGATAGAGCTTAGCAGTAAAGACCAAAAAGATTCTTTGGGAAGAGACGAATCCAATGATACCCAGTTTTACCTTCTCAGGTCAGTCATTGACCTTCCAGGTCAGGTCAAACTAAAAAATGTTGCTGTTTTGGGTCACCGTTGGATGTCAAGTGTGCTGCTTATCAAATACCGATGACGATGCTGTTTTCTGGTGCCAAGCCAGCTAGAACCTCTTTGTCACACTACCCGACCAGAATTTTGCTGCTGAGGTCATTTCAGGTCAGGTTAGGTCAAGGTCAATTATATGTGTTTGTATGTCTGTGTGTGTCTGTGTGTATACTGATGTGTGCACCGATTGTTTTTGGGTCCATATTACATGAAATCATGATCTGAGAAGCTTTTACCAAAAATGCAGTCAAAAAACTTCAAAAAAGTAAATTCAGCTTGCCTAAAACGCAATTATCTTAGGTGACCTAGGTTGACCTTGACCCTGACCTTGACCCCTGTACATCGTCAAACAACATGTTCCATGATAGGTAGGAGGTAAGACTGGCAAAAAAGGCCGAAATCAGGGTGTCAAAAGCTCATAAGGCCCATGGCAAACGCAAGATGTTGAGAATTGGCCATTTGGGTCATGACATGACCTGAAAAACAAGGTCATATCTCCGAAACCAAAAATCACAGAAACTTGAAATTTTCAGTGGACATCAAGAAAGGATAGAGGAGCAGCTATACGAAAAATAAGCCTTCTAGCTCTAAAAATGTTGAGTGCAGAGCAGAAAGACTACCTGGGGGGGGTGGCAACCACCCCCCCCCATGTGCGGGCGAGGGTTAACCCGGCAGTTGCTGGGGTATTTCGCCACCCACCGTTTGTTGGGGGGGGGGGCGTTAAACGCCCCCAGCCGATAACTCGAGAACCAATAGGCGCAGCGAAACGCACGAGGCGGCAAACGGAAGAACGCGACGAGACGCTCACGATGAGTACTTTAAAGTTGAATTTTGAGGTCACAGGTCGGGTCAAGGTCAGGTCAAACACCTGAAATCGGGCTTTCAGTAGCATTGACTTCAGGACTTCGCAATGGGCGCCTCTCGTCATAATCTCTGTCAAAACGGTGCACAATCTATCATATAAGGCCTACAAGAGTGTCAGCTCCATGTAGGGGTCAGTCAAGCATAGGTCAGGGTCAAGGTCAGGTCAACCAGGTAGGCACATATCCCCAAAAATCAAAACTGATATTCGCAGCCTGTGACACATGTTTTATGGGTAATTTGGGACGTAGAACACGATGGTGACATTCATTTTATCATATATGTACGTGTTTGGCTCAAAAAGTTGAATTTAAGAAATTCATGTATCATGGTCGTGAAGGAGTCACGAGAAATTGCCAAGATTCAGTTCAAGATTTTGGAAAATGTGGAACGATAATCAATAATCGAAGATAGCCATTTGATTGTTCATGGAATTGGCAGTCTAATGGCGTTTACGGCATGTCTGTATGTCTAACTATTCTGTGATTTTATATGATTTTTTGAACATATGCCGTTTTTGGTCGAAAACTCATAAATCATGACGTCACTAAAACCTCGATATCTCAAAAACTTTCCGACCGATTTTTTTGAAACTTTGTCACAATGAACTTCAATCAATTCCCTACAGGTACTTAAAATAACTCGCGGGTTAACAGCCGGCTAGTTTCCATTTACTTATTTTTGGTTGCGTATTGAATAACCTCTGCAACAGCCAATAACAGTCTCAAAACAACGCTGTACGCAGCAATACAGTGGTTTTATCCAGGCGCCACTTATCCGCGCATGACTGGGGGGAGGGCTCTACAGAGCCCCCTCCCGTTTTTCGGCAATATCTTCTAAACCGTTTCACGGATCAGCACGAAACTTTCAGTATTCTCAGCGGTATCAATGCGACACCTTGTATTAAAATTTCAACTTTCTAGCTACCACAGTTTGGCCTGAAATGACGTCAGAGTGACGTCATGTCGGTCAATTTTGATGCAAAATATTTTTACGGCAAACGCTCTCAAGAGCTTAGTTTTAACCTTCGCCCCAGTGGGGGGGGGGGGGGGGCATATGTTACCACCCTGTCGCGTTTTTTGCGTGTAAATAAAAAACCGCGGCGCTAGTGCCGCGCCGCTTGGGGTAGCTTTTCGTACATCAATTTTTGACAATGTGTGAAATTTTTGACCCCAGGTCATGTCAGGTCAGGTCACCAGGTCACGTTAACTGACCAAGCCTAAAAAAGTTTGCAATCATGTCCAGCCTGCAGTGTTTGTCAGAAAGGTTTTAAACTTGGTGGATTGCATGATGTTATGGGCGCCTACAATTTGTAAATCTCGGATTTTTTATATCCGTGACCTAAGGTCAGGTCAGTGGCGTGACCTTTCCATGACAAGTCAATGGAGAAAAATGAAAATGCCTCTAGATCCGTGTGTACGCATAGGAACAGTCCAAATATTTCAGAATCACAATGATTTGGACCACCCGTGATGACCATGGTGTCATTTTTGCTGATAGCCTCTAGAAAGGTCATCCGAGGTCATTTGAGGCTACAAGATTTTTGCGAATAACTCGCGATTGGAAAGAGATAGAACGCTGGGGATGGTCTCATTGTGTTTTTCTTGCTCAGACGCATCGACTGATCTGCAACATGACCTTTTCCGGTCAGGTCATGACCTTGACCTGAGGTCAAAATTTCAAGTTGACCTTTCAAGGTCAAATTATAGTTCATTCGACATGTCTCGGCGAGAGGAACACGATTCTGGCAATATAGATGTCGTGGCTTTTTGTAGTTATTATTCGAAAGTTATTGCCGAAAAACACTTTTCGTAAAAACAGTTTTTTTTGGAGTTTTTGCCCTCTGGATGCTAAACCGTTGACCTGAGGTCAATTTTGATAATGACCTTATCAAAAGAAGAGTTCAAAAGCTATCGATTGCTTTTCCATGCGTTTTTCTAGCTAGCAAAATCCCGGTTTACATAGCATTTTTGACGAGGCTCTAGCTCGTTAATTTGGCGATAATTTCGATGCAGTGATCTTCAAATATTTAGAGGGGATCATTTTGTAAATTGTTAAGCACCATTGGCATCTTTTGCAACATCACGGACGGAGATATAAGCTTGCAACAAACCCTATGTAAACCGGTCTAAAGTTCCTGAGATAACGGCATGTTTCCTGAAAAATATAATGACCATTGGCAAATTTTGACCTTTGATGACCTCTGGTGACCCCAATATTGCTCTAAGATGAAAAATTACCGAAATACTTTCAAACGTACGCATTGAGAGCTATCGACTGCTTTTTACCGCGTCTTTCTATCCCTCTTAGTTTTTGAGTTAGAGGTGGGTGGTAACATATGCCCCCCCCCCCCCCCACTAGGGCGAAGTTGGCTGAGACCGCCACTGGGGCGCGGGTTAAAAGCTAGCTCCAATTTCTTTGCATCTGTGGACTACCAATCCACGTAGCTATCAAAATAATATCTCATGTTTAGGAGGCTAAGAAATCGGTAAAATGTTGGTATTTTCCTCATGTTCCCAAGTTGATTTGGTTTCGGTATTTCTCCACGGTTTTGGTTGGTATTTGGTTTGGTATCGGTATTCCGATTTTCCGTAATTGACATCACTAATCTGAACGCTGCACCCGGTATCAAATCACACCAGATCACATCAGATCACACCAGATCGCACCGGATCGCACCGGATCGCACCGGATCGCACCTCACCTGTGTGCAGTCGCCGGCCGAGTGAGGGGTACATGGGTGCCACGGGGCTGCTGCGACTCTGACCCCCAGGCTCCTAGGGAACGCACTAACAGCAACGACCCGCGCGGCGGGGGGGGGGGGGGGGGGCTGAACGCGTGTGGTTCGGCTCACATGGTGGGGTCCGCTTGGGTACAGTTTGGGTGCTGTAAAGACTGGTGTGAAATCTGGACTCTGGTTAGGACACTGATCCTCAGACTCGGAGTAATCGTCACGCCATGTGTGGATCGTCCATGATCATTAAGATGCACAAATGCCTTGCAATTCAAAGATTAACCCAGCCACCTACATGGTGGTTGAGTCTGTTGGCTCTGTTGAACCCCACATGTGCATCAATCCAAGAAAATGGACCTGGAATCTGATCCCACGGATCCTGATCTCGGATCGGATGAGATCAGGGATACAGCTTACAAATTCATTGAGAGATCCTGTGAGACTATTCTTACTTTCTCGTCAACACAGAAATACCAAAGATTTACTCGTTGCAACTCATGAAAGTTTTGTGTCAGTAGTTTTATTTCGTTGCACGCCATATGTCATAGTTTTGAAGCACTTATTCACATAGAAACGCTTGAAAACATAAACTCATCTGTTGTGCATGTCAGAATCTACTCGGGTCATAGATCCACGGTCTTGGTTTATCGGCTAATCTTATGACATCATAGACCAGGATGCATTTTTTTCACCGGAGATGCTGTGGGATCAAAGATCCTAGCATGCAGTTTGCTTCGGCATCCATTGAGATCATAAATCTATCAGTGAAATCCTTACATATATATGTTTGAACGCATTATTTACAGCTGTTGACTGGTGGACCCACTATCCACAGATGTTGACTATGATGAACCCACTATCCACAGCTGTTAACTGGACCTGGTGGACAAACTATCCACAGCTGTTAACTGGTGGACTCACTATCCAGAGCTGTTGACTCTGGTGACTGTTGACTCTGTTTCTGCTGAGTGCACGCCTGACGTAACACAGCTGTCACCAAGTTAGTTTGTATTTCAAACCGTCTGGGAGAGGCCACAGCACGTTACAAAAAGCCCGGATAGTTGGGCCGGAAAGCAGCCAGGACTCAGCACGGCATCGCGCGTTGGAAATCGCCAAAATCCTGCTCATGGACTCTTCTTATTCTTTCGCTAAAAGGACTCTACCAACTAGACGTTTCAAATTCACTTTGCCGCGGCTAGACCAGACGAGTTGGCAGTTGGCACACCATCGCAATCAGAGCACCTCAAAATGCCTGGCTGCTCCTAACGAGCTGAAGGGCAATGAAGGCATGTTTGCTGCATGAGGTTCTCACTCCGGATAACCAGCGAAGCAATATTTTAACTTATGCTTGACTGACGAAGGCAAACGCAGCACAATAACTGGGCCAAGTGATCCGGCGGCCCATGGATAGCGGCCACATCACCAACTGAGGTGGTATTTTGATTATCGCCTAAATATCTTCGAGACACGCATATGTGGCGCCCGTCAGCGAGTTACAAGGCCGCGAAAATCACGTCCGTTTTAGAGTCATCGGTGAATAGCGGCGGGATTGCACAACGCTATATAACGGACTGGCCTCCCCTCTCAGCATTATCCACCGGGCCACATGAGTTCATACATACAAACTCCGTCGTACTCCGCCGATAAGAAGCAGAAGCACACTGCAATAAACACCATAACGAAATAGGCAGCTTGCTTGCGTTATGTTCATCCCTGCGCAGCATTTGTCGCAGCCGCGGCCACCGCGTCGTCACAGATGTCGCTGATGCAGCCGCAACGCTTTTATAGATGTCGCTTCTGCAGCCACCTTTTGCTGTTGCAGTAACCACACCACCATAGATGTCGCTGCTGCATCCATTGCACCATCATAGATGTCGCTGCTGCAGCAACTGCATCTTTATAGATGTCGTTGCTGCATTCGCCATACCGTTGCATTATGTCGCTGCTGCATCCGCCACACCTTTATAGATGTCGCGACAGTTTCGTCGCTGATCAGGAAGCCTCTCCTGATTTGGCCGCTGATAAGATGGATGTCAGCACCACCTGGAGTTGCCGATCAGAAGGAGGTGGTGTTGCCGATCAGAAGGAGGTGGTGTTGCCGATCAGAAGGAGGTGGTGTTGCCGATCAGAAGGAGGTGGTGTTGTTCGGCAGGTACCGCCCCTCCTCCGGGGTGATGTGGCAGACTCCCGGCGCCACGCGGTAGCCGCAGTGGGTCTCCGGAAGACGGTTCTGCGCGAAAAACTCTGCGGGCAGAAACCAGAGAACATGACACAGTGGGTCTTTGCCATACGGTTCTGGGCAAAAAAAAAAACAACAACACTGAGGGCAGAAACGAGAAAACATGACACAGTGGGTTTCCGGTGGACGATTTTTTAAATAGAAAAACACTTCATGTAGGCCATAAAAGCACGGTACCAGTAAAATGGTTAGATTTAACCCGCGCACCGACGGGGGGGGGCGGATATCCGCCCCCTGAGGTTTTTCGCGAATAGCGGGAAAACCGCGGCGCGTAGCGCCGCGAAATTTGGTATGACTATAACCTCATCAATTTTACACATGGTGTGCAAGTTTGAACTTCCTACCTTTTAAGGTCAGGTCACCAGGTCACTTTTAATGACCCAACCTCAAGTCATTTTTTTTGCAACTTTGTCACCGTGCCACAGCTACAGTAGATGTCGGAGGCCTTTGAAAGTCGCAGGATATTATTAGGTCATTAGTAGCTACAATTTGTTTATCTCGGAATTTTGATATCGGTGACCTAAGGTCAGGTCAATTTCGCGACCTCCCCATTATAAGTCAATGGGGGAAAAATCAACTCCCTGTTTTTACCACTAAAACGGGTCGGAATGGCCCCATATACTTTACATGACTTCATATACGATCAACCTTCACTACCTTGAGGACTGTTTTGCTGTTGGGCAGCTGTGAGGTCATGTGACGTCATCAAAGGTAACCAAAGGTTTTTGGCCAATAACTCCGTACAGGAACAAGATACAGACGCGTGGATGGTCTCATTGTGTTCAGCTCGTCAAGACGCATCGAATGATATACATGATGACCTCGAGGTCACGTGACCTGAGGTCAACCTTTGACCTTGATCTTTCGAGGTCAACATATATATTATTCGATGCGGATTGACGAGAGGATCACGATGATGCCCTTAGTTTGTTCCTATCTTGACTAATTCGAAAGTTATTCGAGAAAAACTCTCTCCATATCTAGCGCCGCCATTTTGACTTTTTCGACCCCTGTGACGTCATCTTTGACCTGACCTGAAAATGACCTTAGTAAAAATTGTAGATCTTGGCCGTGCGTATCCGATGTCGTTTACCGCTTGTCGCTATCTTGCTTCGTTCTCGATATCTCAGGGGGGCGGTCATCCGCCCCCCCCCCCGTCGGTGCGAAGTTGGCGCAGACCCCCGTCGGTGCGCGGGTTAAAAAAAAAAATCAGCTCGAATGTTTGAATGGACGGATTGACAGAGCCAAAGCCAACGTTAAGCAGAGCTTGTTGCGTAGACCCCGGCCCCTGCCGTCCGATCGCGCAATTACGGGTAACGGGAGAATTTAGATTCCGAAGTTTAACGTGCCCTTCAAAGCCGGACACGGCCTGCCCCACTCAACTGACTTCAACTGGACGCGGCCGCTCCCACCAACCGCAGACCATCCCCGTCAGGAGTCTCAAATATCGAGCGCCGGAGCGTCTCGAACTCGGGCACTCACTACCGAGAGTCCGATGCTCTACCAATTGAGCATACGGGACAATTTTAGCTTACTCCTTTTTGACTTTTTCATGTAAGCTAACGCAAACGTAGCTATCATAAACGCAACGTAACACAGCGGGCCAGCAGCTAAAACCCCAACCCTCCAACCTCCCAAAGGAGGCCGTTCAGCCCCAGGTAGAGCTAGAGTTTCTCGAAAAAAGGGCGTGGCTCCCGTGGCGAGGGAAAGTCGATGGAAGGTATTCTATTTCAGCCGCTAGGTTACTGGCTAACCTTCCAATGACCAGACGTCTGGTAAATCAGGATCTGCTAAAAGTTATTTAGGTGATGTTTCCTTATCTATTTGGGTTGCTGATAGCGAATGAAGCATTAGTTGTGCTCAACATATAATGCATTTTTAAAATTGGAACAGCTGGGTCAGGTCAAGCCCCTGATTGTTCTTAGCCCGGCGGCCGCTGGTCCTTCACGCCACCTACCGGCCACGGGGGGGGGGGGGGACAGCACGTTGCCCCTAGTTAGGAGGATCAAATATCATCCCTAACACCTTGTGGCAATGCTTCCAGCTACGTCAAAAGGTGTGGCTGCTCACTGGTCAGATCACGCTACCCCTTGTGACGTCACTGGTGGAACAGCTGAGCCGCAGCACGCCCGCTGTGGTGTGTCTCGGCAAGGGGAGGGGTAGAGCCAGCAGTCTGAGCCTATCCAGAGGCTATTTCGGTGTCTGGTGGCCGGACAGAGGGGAGGGGGGTCTGCTCCTGCCCTCTGGATATCGGTAACCGGCCACAGCAAACTATGGGGACGAGTGGATCAGAATCAAACTGATAGTAGGGTGGGGATACAGAATATAGAGGGACATAGCTGAGGTATATTCCCATCTGGGCGCATAGCGACCCATTCATTCATTTAACCCGCGCGGGGCTGGGGGGGTAAATTTTACCCCCCCCTCGCGAATTTTTGCGATATCTCAAAAACGGCGGCGCGCAGCGCCGCCAAACTATCAGTACCTATTCTTACATCAATTTGACACTTTCTCTGAAAATTTGAGCGAAATCCGTCGGAAAATTTTTGAGAAATTGACGTTTTAGTGACGTCATGTTCGCCATTTTCGCCTCAAAAACGGCAAAAGTTCAAACGCCGCTAACATCTTCATTTTTAAAGGAATCAAGACGTAACAAAAAAGGTTATACGTAATTTTACTTTGTCTATCAAATGGCTATCTCGGTTTTTTGAAAATTTTGGATTTTGGCCTATTTTTTTTTTTTAACTGATTTTTTTGGGAAAATCATTATAAAATCCAAAATTTTGAGTGTATCGAAAAAAACCGGAATATGTGTCAGAGAAGTGGTCTATGTGCACTTACATACCAAATTTTAGAAGAATCGGTTCAAAAATGTGGGAGTTATTCAAAATTTTATGACGTCACGACATACAAAATTTTCGAAAAATGACTTTTTTGGAAGTTCTAGACCTCGTACGGAAACAAAAATAGCACCATTCGATTCTCCGTGAAAAACTGCATCAGATAGACACCTTTTTAGGCCTTAACAACCAACTTCAAAATTTGACCTCACTTGACCTGACCTTGACCTGACCTCGACCTGAAATTCATCCAGAGGTGGTCCATATCACTTATTGAGTGTGCCTTTTGAATTCTATGAGTAAAATGACCCATAAAACATGTGTCGCACATGCCCTTTTCTATATTTTGTTTTTTGGTGACCTGACCTGACCTGACCTGACCTTGACCTTGACCTCTGAATGATATTGTATGCAACGAATATTGTCTTGGTAGCCTAAGAACACGTTTTGGGCGATCAGTCTCAGTCCATGACTCCATTCTTCGGCAACTACGGTGCAAGGCCGATACTGTAGAAACTTGCAATTTGTACCATTGACCTGACCTGGACCTTGACCTCAAACTTTAAATTAAATACATGTTTTTAGTAGTTCGTGATGAGAGCTTTCGATTGGCGTTTGAATTTTCCAAATCGGACCATTAGTTCGGGAGATAACAGGGGGGGGGGGGTAAAATTTACCCCCCCCCCCAGCCCCGCGCGTTCGGCTGGAGACCCCAGCCCCGCGCGGGTTAAAAAATATTATTATGTGTTTATCCGGTAATATATTTGACCAGATGAGATAAACTACGTGACATTCACCCACGTAAAGATAAAGAGACATGACATGCCACTGTTATTCAATGGCACTTTCAAACAGGATTGTCTAGAAAAGGACTCATCCTGACTAAACTTCGTAGGATTCGGAATAGATTTCTTTTAAACATACACGCGAGCTTGTGTAAAAAAAAAATGTTTACACATCTGTCACATCCACAGACCATACTTTGCAATCACAATGACGAAGCGTCCTGTTCCTCTGCACCCGCCACTGCTTCTCCCCATCCGCCCCTGTTCCCCTCCCCACCCGCCCCCGCTCCTCCCCATCCGTCCCCCCTCCTTATCCGCCCCCGCCCCCCTCCTTATCCCGGCAGTTGCTGGAGTATTTCGCCACCCACCGTTTGCTGGGGGGGGGGGGGGGGCGTTAAACGCCCCCAGCCGATAACTCGAGAACCAATAGGCGCAGCGAAACGCACGAGGCGGCAAACGAAAGAGCGCGACGAGACGCTTCAGATGACTGATGAGTACTTTAAAGTTGAATTTTGAGGTCACAGGTCGGGTCAAGGTCAGGTCAAACACTTGAAATCGGGCTTTCAGTAGCATGGACTTCAGGACTTCGCAATGGGCGCCTTTCGCAATGAACTCTGTCAAAACGGTGCACAATCCATCTTATAAGGCCTACAAGAGTGTCAGCTCCATGTAGGGGTCAGTCAAGCATAGGTCAGGGTCAAGGTCAGGTCAACCGGGTAGGCACATATCCCCGAAAATCAAAACTGATATTCGCAGCCTGTGACACATGTTTTATAGGTAATTTGGGGCGTAGAACACGATGGTGACATTCATTTTATCATATGTGTACATGTTTGGCTCAAAAAGTTTAATTTAATAAATTCATGTATCATGGTCGTGAAGGAGTCACGAAAAATTGCCAACATTCAGTTCAAGATTATGGAAAATGCGGAACGATAATCAATAATCGAAGATAGACACTTGATTGATCATGCTTTTGTGAAACGGGTTTAGGCTAACTTTTCGTTAGCCTAAACCCGATTTTCAATTTATTTTAATTTACCCTAACTTTTTGGATAGCATAAATTAAAACTAGTGTATTTTGATAGGAACAGCCCAGATCCGAGTTTATACTAACTTTGGAGCATGTTAGCCTAAACCAGATTTACCCTAACCTGGCCAATTAAACGATTCTGCTAGTTCATATTTTATCCACCAGAGTTTGCTTCGTACTCAAAGGCCTTCCTCGTCCAGTAAAAGATCTGGCAGCGATGTGCTACGTCGATTTGGAAGCACGACTGAGATACAATTTCGGCGCAGCTGTTTGCGCTGTTTGCACGCCGGAATATCTTTGAGCGTTATTGTTGTTGCACGTGCAGTTTCAAGGATGGTGGTCGTTGT